ACAACAAGAGTAAACCAGCTAGAAGAACATTAATTGAAGCTAAAAAGGTCCAAGCATAGCGTTGGATTGGAAAAAGAGTATTTGAATTCATTACGGATTTTTAGGTGAGCACGAACGTTAGTTCAGAAAACGAAAAGCGAAATAGACTTTTACTCCTCTTTCAGCCGACTGGGACAATTTAACAAGCACAATGTCCTCTGACGAATACGGTTCATCTAGCAAGAGAACACGAGCCTCGGGGGAGGTATTGGATTACTTGTTGTTAGAGTTTGAGAACAACCATAATCCATCTCCGGAGCAGAGGAAAGAGATAAGCGATCGGACAAATATGACAGAAAAGGCAGTAAGGATTTGGTTTCAGAACAGAAGGGCCAAATTACGGAAGTTTGAGCGTATGGGAAGAGGAAGCACTGCCAGCGACGGTGGAAAGAAGCATACTGCCAGTATACATTCAAGCAGATCAAATAGCTTCAATGAGCCAACTAGAAGCCCTGGAAAAGCTCTCTCGCCCACGATTCCTAGTATTCCTATAGAGATAAATGAGAAGTACTGTTTTATTGACTGTTCTTCATTGTCCGTAGGGTCGTGGCAAAGAATTAAGTCGGGGTATCATGAGGAAATGTTGTTGAGAAATAATTTGGTCAACTTATCGCCATTCACGTTGAATAATATTATGGCAAACGTAGATTTGTTGGTGCTTTTATCAATGAAAAATTTTGAGATCAATTACTTTTTTAGTGCTGTCTCTAACGACTCCAAAATTCTATTTAGGATTTTTTATCCTATTTCGAGTATACTAAGTTGCTCGTTGTTGGACAATAACATAAACAAAGAAAATAATGAATTGAGAATTAGTCTAGCCCATCAGCCTAAGTTTTCGGTTTATTTCTTTAATGGTGTGAATGCGAATTCAAACCAATGGTCTATATGTGATGATTTCAGTGAAGACCAACAGGTGAGTTTAGCCTACTGTAACGAGGGTGGGAGCTCCATTCCGCATGTCTTGGTTGGTGTTAAAAACTCTTTACAGTTTTTAAACTCATTCATCTTAGAAAATAACCAGATGCCGCATCGGTCTTCTAATTTTCATCCGCATATTCAGTTAAATGATCCTAATAATTTAGATAATGAGGGTCAATCTACTGGTAATTTTCAATTCACTACTAAAGAGCTGACTGTATGGAATAGCAGCGACAGGTCCCCATTAGGAGGCCACGATTCTAACCCTTCTCCAAATTCAATGACTAGTAGTAACAATCCACAATCGAATTTGATTTCCACCGAGGATGATCAATTAATATCTACAAATCATTCACAAGAAAGTAACCAAAACTATCCTTATAATGATATGTTTACTGGTAATACTCCGGATTTTTTTACCACAGGCCAAGCCTCCGAAAATCCTATTATGCATAATACTGACCGCAGTTCCAACGACAATAAAGAGAATAATAATATGGACGATGACGAAAATTTGATAAACAGCCCTTCTACCAATTTGCAGTCTTATACACATGAACATCACTCGCCTTTTAATAACCTATCTAGTTCGGAGAACTTTGCAGACGTTCATCCTTCATCAGGGAATGATCAGCCATTTGATTTTACTATTGGAAATGACTTTTCAACTAATGATAATATAGACAATGCGAATAATCCCCCATCAAATGCTTCATCCAGTAGTAATCAAGTGGACAGCTTTATAGATTACAATAGTGGTTATCATTAGCCTTCTCTATCTATTCTTATATTTTTAGTTCATCATCGTATAGCAGTAGCTTATATATTAATCTGTATTATTCAATTTATGACTTATACTTCTTAAAAGTGCTAATCAGCATCAAGTAATATCGAAAGCTTGAATGAAAATGTTGTTTTGTCAAGAGAGAAAGAGAATCAATATGTTTAATGAAGGATTCAAAAGTATGAAAATTTTGTAAATAAAACTAAAAATAAAAGATATTTCATTTATAAAAAAAAAGTGCTACGGATTGAATACGACATATATACATAAGTTTCCTATCAGTTCAACTTACGTCTTATAAATACTCATGATGCTTTTAGAATTAGACAATAGATGTTTGAACGGCATTGGAGTAGCCTGTTTTTTGCAGCTGTATACATAAATAATTCACGTGATACTCATATCAAAAATTGAAATAATTATAGTCTCTTGAAGCTATCATACTTGTGAAAGTGCTTATGATTAGAAATTTGACATGTGGCCCAAGAGGCCGAGCAGTGGCTCTAAGAGTACGCTGGTATTCAAGTGCTATGCATAATAGACCTGAATTATTAAGTTTACTTCCAGGTAAGAGGACCATGAATAAGATTCTTTTCGACAATGATAGTAGATTATCATATAAGAAAGTTATTCCTATTTTGAATTCAGTATATTCAAATATTGAAACACCTGAAGATATTATTTTACCGAATTATGTCAAGAGTAATGATTTAATGTTATGTAAACAAATCCTTGCTTCTATACGGTCAACTACCAATTCTATAAATAAAAATTTGGTACTGCTAGAAAATGAATTAGTTGAACAGGCTGCAGAACTTGGTAACAATGATGCTATAGCTATTTTAGCATTTGAATCTATCGAGGACCCACAAACTTCGAAAGAAGATTACAAATATGCCAATAAATTGATTGATAATTTGACTAATTTGAAGCATCCACTCGTTTTCAAGATGGCAGGGGACTTAGCATTCAAGAAAGGTTACCATAATCAAGCAGAGGTATATTGGTTGCAATTTATTGAGTTAGAGCTGGATACGATACTTGCAAGTCAGGTGTATGCAAATCTAGGTATCTATTACTTCAATTATTTAAAACCCAGACCTAATTTGACCAAGGCCGAATTATACATGAAAAAAAGCATTAAATTTGGTGAATTGGATAAATACACTATTCAAGCGCATTATTATTTAGGACAACTATATTCCATGACGGATCCAATCTTGTCAAAATATCATTTGGAGATATCTGCCAGTAAAGGATTGAAAGAAAGCTTTCCATCACTTGGCTTTTTGGAAATGAATATTTTTAAAAACTACTCTAAAAGTCTTGAGTGGTTTAGGCTTGGAGTCGAGAGTAGCAATGACTTATCATGTATGATAGGTCAATTTGATTGTTTCATCAATTTGGAAAATCTCATTCAAGCAGACGGAATATATAGAAACTTGATTTCCGTCCATAACAAGATAAGATCAGCTAGGGCTAGAAAAGATATCCCAAAGGATATGCAACAAGCTATGGACACAAATCAGTCACTTTTGAATTTATTCTTTAGCACTAGAAGTGGTTCTATTAAATCATTACCTAGTTACCAATTATAAACATCTTTATATATACTTGTACATAGTTTCACATAATTGAAGACTTTTGGTTAGCGTCGCTCATCATTTCAGAATTGTATTTATCTCTTAAACTTAGTGGCAGACTATTAGATCTTACAGGGGTTCTTTGCACACTTTCATCATTGTTTATCATCAGGCGGTCGCCAGAATCATCTTGTTCACTAAACCAATAATGCTCACAAGTTTGGATGACATCAAATCTTTCGCTTGGATGAACTATCAATAATGAACTAATTAAGTGTAATACGGAATCATTAATGTCATCCCAATAAGGTGAATAAAAAGCATAATTGCCGGTCAATATTTGTTCCCTCATATTTGGTGGTCCCAATTCATCACTAAATGGAGGGAATCCACAAAGACATACATATAGTAATACTCCACTCAGCCATAAGTCAACTTTTGTAGAGTAGTTTCTTTTATTGCTTAGTATTTCTGGTGCAACATATGCTGGAGTTCCACACAATGTGTTGGTGAATTTTAATTCACCAATAAATTTTGCAAGACCAAAGTCAGCTATTTTAACCTTTATATCATATTCATTCTCATCCCAGGGCCCTGTTTGCAGCTGATCTTTGGATGTCCTTGGCGTGATGTCGAGTAATATATTTTCTGGTTTAATGTCTCTATGGATAATACTATTCTCATGTAAGTACCTCAATCCCGAAAGAAGCTGTTTGAAAATAGCTCTTGTTTCGTTTTGTCTTAATTTCAGTTTATTAATAATTCTTTGGAACAATTCACCATTGTTCATTTTTTCTAACACCAAGTACGACGTCACGGAGTATTGGTTGATTGGTTCCACATAATGTGATATAAACCTTACTATGTTTCGATGATTTATGGATAATAATAAGTTCATTTCTTGTTGGAGTTTGATATCATCGTTTTCGTTTCCTTGGCCATTAGTTTTGTTTGGATGAAAAATTTTGACAGCTACTACATCCCCCGTAGATCTGTCTGTAGCTTCTTTAACCACAGCATAATGTCCCGATCCTAGCTGCTCGCCTAGTATATAATCGTCAAAGAATGACTTCGACTGTTGTACTTTTGTATTTTTAATATCAATGATATACCGAAATATATATGATCCTCCTGTCTTAGCAAAATCTAGCTTGTCTCCGCTTCTTAGTAGTATTGACGAATCTTTACCTATTATTTCATCATTTAAATAGGTACCATTTGAGCTGAGATCCTTTATACATAAATATTCTCGATTATTATTTATAGTCAACGTCAACTCACAATGCTTGGAAGAAACATCATTGCCATTAATTCTAACATCACACGAGCTACTTCTTCCAATAAGGACATCTTCTGTTTTCCTAGGGATACTCATATGCTGCTGGCCAGGTTTAATATTATATAATCTTGCTATAGGTTTATAACCGAATGCCTGTCTTTTAATGCCAGACAAGCTTTCATCAGACAAATTTCCATTTTGCTATATATGTTAGAACATCTTCCTACGATCTGATTCTTTCAAACCAAGTACTTACTCGTTTCCGTGATAACGACATTGTTGTTAAATATGTTGTTTGATTTTGTTTACAATTTTTCAGTCTGATATGTTACGCGATCTCGTAATCTGCCTATCCAATACATTAAAAATTAAATTAATTCTATATATGACAGACCTATAAAATACGAAAAACCAAATCATTAATTTCATGGTTCGATAAATGCTTTAATCCTCCATCGAATTTTGACCTCAATTCTGGTATTTTATCATAATGGTTTTTGTATAATTTCGCAGTTTGTGAATCAATTTCTAGCAAAAACTCAATGGACTCGTTCACTTTTAGATACTCTTTATTATTAATATTTGAATAGTCATTTAATGACAGCGACAAAAGTAGGGAACGCTTTAATTGACTTATTATAAACTCAAAATCTACCTTCAATTGCCTAACACCAGTGGCACTGAATTGATTATTTGTAATAATGAATTCGCGTAGAACCACTGATAATAAAGTGACTATCTTATTGGTGATCAAGTAGTAATCCAAATCCGATAAGCATTTTTCAAGGTAGCTCATATATATCGGAAGGTTATTGACAAGCAATGAAAGATCAGACGAGGCTTCGAGATTATTATTAGTGCCAATATCCCATTGACTTGAATTAACGTAGTTCTTTAATGAAGTCTTGATTTCCTTTCTGAAAAACTGTTCATAGTTACTCAAGATCTTTGTTAATAACGACTGGAAATCGTTTATGGAATTATCAAATATTGTCAGGCCAAAAGAATGTGTCTTATTACTGATCGATTTATATGAATTCCAAAGTTGGATGAAGACAAGTTCCTCACTCCATTGTTCCAAATTATTATTTATAAACTTGGTCAGGCAATACATTTCAGTTAAAATTTCTAATCCTTTCAATCCATTCTTCGTATTATTAGAGTCTGTATTTGTGTTGTTATCGTTACCTAATCCACCTGGGATGAAGTTTAATACTAACTTCAGGTTAAATGTGTCACTGAAACTGCGCAATAGTTGTTTCAACTTATCATAGTATAAATCAATTAGCTTTAGTTGAATATTTGAGACGTATTTTAATTGGTATTTGACAATATTTAAAGTCTTATGATGACTCGTTAAATTGTTAAAAAGCTTTGTTAAATTATAAGCGGAATACGTAGGCTTGAGAAGCCTTTCGTGAAATTTCCTAGGTTCTTGCGAGGCTTGATAATCAAAATCTATCTTGAATGCTTTGTCTGAATGAATGATTTCAGTATTGAATCTTTCCGTGGCTAACTCGAATTCAAAGTTCAACCAATTCACAGCAGCTAAATTTTCATTATCCCCATGCAATAATATGTCACCCGTTAAACCCATCCATTTCTTCGAGGGCAAAATGGCAATGTCTTTTACGTATGGGTTGAATTTGTAAACATTCCTGAGTCTCTGGTCGAAGGACGACAATTCAAAAATTAAATGGGATAAAATTCTACCACTTTTTTCTCTGTTCTCTTGACCCTCCTGTGATTTTGCAATATTTTCATTAATCGATTCAATCATTTTAAACATCTTTTCCCTCACTGGATTCAATAGAGTATTGATAATTTCATAGTCAATAATTCCAGAAAATGGTTTAATGGTATCCCCTATGACTAATTTTAGGTACAATAAGTTTTCTGAAAGAAAGTTTTCAATGAAATTAAGAGCCCATTCAGGTTTAGAGAGCTTGTTCGTTTCTTTATTGGCTGTATTGAAATGGTAATTGAAACGTATCACGATCGGTTCTAAAAGCACGTCTGTAGCCCACCAAGTATTAGGATATTCAGGCGCACTATTAATTGATTGTAGTTCAAACAATTTGGACATATACGTATGTATCGATGACATTTTTGCTTGTGGTATTGAACGTTTCTCGAACTTAGGAGCTAACCATTTAATTTCTACAAGGACATTTTTAAACTCGTCCTCAAGCCTCGTTTTAAACGTTGCAATCTTGTTATCTAATGTATCAGATAACTGCTTGATCACCTTGCTATTAATAGGTATAGTTTCATGTTCATTGGCAAGCTTTTGGAGCCTTTCTTTAGTCTGCGATACCTTAGTTATGTCATCTATCGCTAGACTTTCAATGTCCGTCTCTAAATCTCTTGCCTGTTGTAAAAACGCCATCCCAAGTTTCAATTCCTGCTTCCTCTTGTATAACAGACTGGCATTATCCAATACTGCTAGGTTTCCATAATGCTCTATTAATTCACCGATTTGTGCCAATGCTTCGTCATCTGGCTTAGTTAACAAAGAATTCAATCCTTCCAACACCTCCTCTACTCTCCTATGTTTTTGCTCTTCATATTGTGTGGATACATTCGAGCTCGATCTTGATTCGTTTGATACTTTGGCTTTTACAGCCTCGTTAATCTTTAATTTAAAAGCTTCAAGTTCACTAATTCTTTCATCAATAATGTCCAAATCCTTAATGGAAGTAAAATTAGCGTTCATATACTCCATATTGCCCGTCTTGCCCAAAAGCCTCTGCTCAATGGGCATATATATACTGGCGGCTTCAGGCACATTTGGTAAAAATACATTATATTTACAGGTTATATCCAAAACTTTACATGTTCGGCGTCATTCTAGATATTTCCAGCTATAATATCAAAACATTACTTCCAAAACTTTACCATGAAAATCAAAGAACACTAACAAGAGATATAACACTTTCGGTATCTCAATTGCCTATCACAAGGTTGATAAACCGTTGTTTTAAGGATTTACAGTAGTAAATTCAATGTGATTATATAATCTACTACAAATCGCGAGTAAAAAAATTAACGGCGACGGTACTTTTCGAATCAATCAATAGTTAACAAAGTATTCTTCAATAATTGATAGCGTTAGCAGTGAATCAAGAGAATAGGACAGCATAATAAGAGTAATCAAAGATGCAGGCCCCTGTTGTATATATGAATGCGTCCACAAAGAGAGAAACTGGACGTCAAGCACAGATTTCTAATATTACCGCCGCCAAAGCTGTTGCTGATATTATTAGGACATGCTTAGGACCAAAAGCAATGTTGAAAATGTTATTAGATCCTATGGGAGGTATAGTCTTAACCAACGATGGACATGCTATTTTAAGAGAAATTGATGTATCACATCCAGCCGCAAAGTCTATGATTGAATTGAGTAGAACACAAGATGAGGAAGTAGGAGATGGTACTACCACTGTTATCATTTTAGCGGGAGAAATCTTGGCACAAACTTTCCCATATATCGAGAAGAACATACATCCAGTGATTATTATCCAGGCGTTGAAACAGGCGTTGAGCGATGCCTTAGAAATCATTCACAGCGTGTCGGTTCCGGTTGACATCGAAAACGATGAGGCGATGATTAAGTTGATTAGAGCATCGATCGGTACCAAATACGTCAACCAATGGTCACAGAAAATGTGTGAATTATCTTTGAAGGCAGTGAAAACCGTCCGTGTTCAAAAAGGCGACTACAAGGAGATTGATACCAAGAGATACGCCAGAATTGAAAAGTTACCAGGTGGAGAAGTCACCGATAGTGAGGTGTTAGATGGTATTTTATTAAATAAAGATGTCACTCACCCAAAGATGAAGAGACGTATCGAAAACCCAAGAATCATATTGTTGGATTGTCCATTGGAATACAAAAAGGGTGAATCACAAACTAATATCGAAATCACGAAGGAAGAAGATTGGAATAGAATTTTACAGATCGAAGAAGAACAAGTGAAGCTCATCTGTGATCAGTTATTGCAGTTCAAGCCAGATTTGGTGTTGACTGAAAAGGGTGTCAGTGATTTGGCCCAACACTATTTATTAAAGGGTGGTGTTACTGCATTGAGAAGAGTTAAGAAATCTGATAATAATAGAATCGCCCGTGCCTGTGGTGCTACCATTGTTAATAGAATCGAAGACTTGAAGGAATCTGACATTGGTACCAGATGTGGTTTATTCAATGTCGAATTAATCGGTGATGAATATTTCACCTACTTGGTCAAATGCAAGGACCCTCAGGCTTGTACCATTTTATTGAGGGGTCCATCGAAGGATATTTTGAACGAAATCGAAAGAAACTTACACGATGCCATGGCCGTTGCCAGAAATGTGATGTTCGAGCCTTCATTGTCTCCAGGTGGTGGTGCGACAGAAATGGCCGTGAGTGTTAAATTATCTGAAAAAGCAAAGACCATTGAAGGTGTTGCTCAATGGCCATACCAGGCTGTTGCCGACGCTTTCGAGGTTATTCCAAGAACTTTGATCCAAAACTGTGGTGCCAACCCTATCAGAATCTTATCGCAATTAAGAGCTAAGCACGCTAAAGGTGAACACTCCTTCGGTATTGATGGTGATTTAGGTAAGGTTGTTGATATGAACGAGTACGGTATCTGGGAACCTGAAGTTATCAAACAACAATCTATCAAAACCGGTATTGAAAGTGCGTGTTTATTATTGAGGGTTGATGATATCGTTAGTGGAGTTCGTCAACAACAATAGAGATATTACTAGACTATCTACATCGTTCTCTTCTAATATTATATACAGTTATTGTAGTTATACCATATAGTCTATAATGCAACACTTTATATCCAAAGGAATCGACCAGTCACGTGCTCTGAAATCCTTCTAGAAATCTTCATTGTTTACAAATTGCCTAATTCAGCTCGCATTATGATTCGAACGTCTGAGAGGTTTAGTTCGCTAGCAAATATAGAAATATTCATCTTTTAGTAAATCATTACTAGCCGCATAAGTATAGAACTGTAACACATTTTCAGAAGAGGCATTCTTCAGTAAAAAAAAAGTGTTAGCTCTAAGGGAAAGTGGTTTAATTTTATTTATCAATTGCAGACATCACATCATTCATTCTCAACTTGAAGAAATACTATTGGTAGCCCATAGTAACTGTAAAAGCAAATCACAACTTTCACAGTCTGCATATCTTTAGGTTTCATCAAACATACAATATCAATAATATTCGTTGATGTCTATTCCACCCTTACCTTTCAAGGTTAAGACCAATATCTCATGGGCTGGTGAAGAGGATGGAGACTTAGGTTTCATCGAAAATGAAATTGTTGAAGTGTACTCAGTCGTCGATGACAGTTGGTGGAATGGGAAATTGAGAAGAAACGGTGCAGAAGGTATATTTCCTAAAGCTTACGTGGAGATCATCGAGGAAAAACTGGGACATAATTCGTCTTCTACATCTCTTGTTAATACACCTACGAAACAACATACTCCAGTGAAGCAGAGAACACCAGTTCATGATCATGATTACGACGCAAGGTACAGATCAAGCAAATATAACACTCCTGTTAAAACCAATCATTCTGCAAGGTATCTGCCAAGCAGATCTCAATGTGTTACCAAAGCAGACATGTCGTATGACTATGACGACGAAACTAACTATCGTTATAACAATAGTTACGATACGATTGAGTTTGGTAATGGAACCCCAAGGAGTAGTAATCCTAGAAAAAGCAGATCGTCTTCGAAATTGATGTCGTATACAAATCACCCAAAGAATAAACACATGCATTCTAGTCACTCTCAAGAAGATTTAGTTTTGCAGAGAGAAAAAGAAATAGAAAAGTTCAAAATATTGCAGCAACAACAACATTATCATATAAAGAAAATTCAACAATTGGAACTGCAAGACAACTATAGGAACTCAATTGCAATCTCTCCAGAGGTTTATCACACGTCACCAACATCGAAGCCTAGAGTCAAGCAATTCAAACCCAGACCGCAATCGCAAGTTTTCCAAACTCCTGTTCCTGGTATTCCTCGTGGTAACTACTCTAGTCTGGCGTTGCCAAATAAAGTAAGTCCGCAGCATGATAGCTTTACGTCTCCGAAAAATAGTAAGAATAATCTTCAATTATTCAATAATCATACAATTGAAAGTTTTTCGCCAGAGGTGTCTCCAAAGCCGCAAAAATATGTTCAAAGTAAGCATGTTGAAGATTACTATGAAACACCTCAAAAGGCTCAAATTCCGGTTGAAGACGATTACGATGAAATCGCATATAAGAGACAACAGTTGGAATTAGAATTACAACAAATAAAGGATTTGGAAAGGGCTAAACAGCAGCAGAAGAAGAAAATTCCTTATTCAGGTATGAAATCTTCTCCGAATCGCTCAAAAGCAATACAAGGAGACGGGCTTAATAACGATTCGATGGCTTCTAGCTATATTAGCGAAGATTTGTTATCATCAAAGAAAAATTATCAATCTAAGGATGACTTAAGTAGAAAACTAACAAATTTTAATACTGATGAATGTTTGGCAGATGAATATGACGATGACGATGACGATGACGATGACGATGAAGAATACGGATCTCCACCGCCTCCACCTCCTCCCAAATATGTTAAAGCAAGAAAACCAGTTCAAGAATCTTACCATATTCCTCAACCGAATGGTGAAAGAGATATGCAACAAAGTCAGCTGAGAGATAATTATGTCAGAAATGTTCCTTACGATGCAGATGATTTTAAGTTTTCTGGAAACAGCCAAAACAGAATTCACTTAAACGACGAGGATATGCTCAGGTTATCGCAATTGCAGCATGAAGAGTTAAAAAACTCGACCAAATCTTTACAAAGTGATGTATTGAACTTATCCGAATTAAGTGCTACCAGTGCTGGGTCTTTTATTAGACATAAATACGATAAAGAATTGAGATATCAACAAGAGTTGAAAATGAAGAATTTATCTATCAATGATAATAACGAAGAAAATAATGTCGAGCTTAATGGAGAATTGAAAGATATAAATAACAAACAACTAATGGACTCTATTTTTCAAGATAAAAAGTCAAGGCATCCAAACATTTTCAAAAAATTCTTACAAAAGCGAAAGGAAGACGAGACCTTGAATCCTATTGAACAGAAGTTTCAAAATGAAGAATCGATTGATTGGGCAACTTTGAAAATGGATTTGAATAGAATGAATTCGTTGACTTCTCAGGATAAGCAATCAAGAACTAGAAGAATCGTCAGAGAAGAAGGATCTTTAATCGTTAAACCACTAGATTATATTTCTGAAATTAATACAAACGAAACAATCGGTGACCTTGATGCTCCATCCAGCTTCGACGTTTCTGATATTCCCTTTAAAAAGATTGAGTCCTTTATAGAAAAATATGAAATGTCAACCGACCTCAACGAATTAATATCTGATATTAGTGTTAAATTCAATTCATCGAAGCTCAATCAAGTTAGGTGCTTATTACTTCACTTATGTAAATTTCATATTATTGAAGAGGCTGGTAAAATTCTGCAAATTAAACCCAAGTTAAACGAAATCTTGTACAAAGGTGAAGCTTCAATTTACCAATTAAACTACTTATTCAAAAAGCTTCTTGATGCTTTACGAATCCCATCTGAAATTGTGTTAGGTTTTTGGAAAAAGCCTAATGAATTTTATCATAATGAACAATACGTCGTTAATCATTGTTGGTTATCAATTTTGATTGATAATCAATTTCATATCATAGATATTTATTGTTTCCAAAATGGGTCCGTCTGTAATATTCGTGACCATGGAAATGGGTATAACGAGTACTACTTTATGACTGAACCATTAAACCTAGTATCGACCCACATACCTTCTATTATTGATTTGCAACATGTGGTACCTCCGATTGACCAAAGTATTGCATTTTACTTGCCAAGGAATTATTCCGGTTTTTACAAGAATAGATTAAGTTATAGGAACTTTAATAATGCTTTGACAAGACTAAAGGATTTAGAATTCTTTGAGTTAGAGTTAGAAATTCCATCTGATATTGAACTTTTCACCTTGGTTAAGACTGCAAAAGTTACAACCAACGAGTTAAGTTTATGTCAGATATTCTGGTCTAATAATAAGAGAATTGCTAAAATCAAGGCAATTCTTCCAGAAAAAGAATCAATCGGTGTGTTGCAAATATTCGCTGGCACAAAAGGTTTGCAAAAGCATTTTGATAATGTCCATGAATTGGCCATTGTTATTCCATTATATCACACAGGCATTTATAAGTCATGCAAATTTGTGCCAAGATATCCTACTGTTCAGAGCCAGAATAACGATCTATATATTAAACAACCTCAAACAAGCAAAATTGTTGTTAAGAATGCGTATAATTTCGAAATTTGGCAATATCCATCAACAGGAATTAATACTCTTAGTGGCTTGGTAAACCAAGATTTTAAGATTGTAATTGAGTCTCCTTCTGGCAAATACTTTAAGTTAACCAAATCTGATCCTACCAAACCATTTGGAGCTTATGAAAGCAATATCAAATGTCAAGAAGTTGGTCTATACAGGGGTCTAGTTATAGGTGATAGTGGGAACAGCTGGTATGTCTTTGCCCAATGGGATTGTGTGATGGGCACTGTAACTAATTGATTACCTAGCATTTATTATTATTCCACCTTAAATGTACTCCATTTGTTCCGTTGGTTTTATGGTAAACGTTGTTCATGTCACTGCTTGATTATTAATAATATAACTTTTGCATATGTCAAGCACTTAAAACCCTTTTATGTTCTTTTTTAGATTGATTTATATACTTTTATACATGTTTTTTGCATTAATTGAAATATTTGATTGATCATCACGTGATAATATCAAAAATCTATATCAAGCACTCTTCACTTACAAGCCAACTAATACTTTTAACTATAATCATAATGGCATCAAAAGCGGCAACAACGGCTACGACTATTGTGTCGTCTCCGTCTATTGCGCCATTAAAATACTCGAAAGACCGTAAAGTTGGTGAAGGTACCTATGCGGTTGTTTATTTAGGTAATCAAATATCGACTAAACGTAAGATTGCCATAAAAGAAATAAAGACAGGGCTTTTTAAGGACGGTCTTGATATGTCTGCTATAAGAGAAGTCAAGTATTTACAAGAATTAAGACATCCTAATGTAATAGAATTGGTAGATGTGTTTCTGACAACGAATAATCTCAACTTGGTATTAGAATTTTTGCCTTGTGATTTAGAAGTATTAATAAAGGATAACTCTATCGTATTCAAACCATCAGATATAAAGTCATGGTTATTGATGACCTTAAGAGGTATACACCATTGTCATAGAAACTTTATATTACATCGAGACTTAAAACCAAACAATTTATTACTAGCACCAGATGGAGAATTAAAGATAGCAGATTTTGGGTTGGCAAGATCGTTGGGGAATGCAGACGAATTACTAACTTCGAATGTTGTTACAAGATGGTATAGAGCGCCGGAGTTATTATTTGGTGCCAGGCACTATACAGTTGCCGTTGACATTTGGTCGATAGGAATAATATTTGCAGAGCTAATGTTGCGTACACCATATTTGCCGGGAAAAGACGATACGGATCAAATAGATGTAACTTTCAGGGCTTTGGGGACACCAACAGAACAGATATGGCCAAATGTTTCTAATTTACCATTGTATAATGCTTTGCGAGTCTACCCACCTCCTTCGAGGCAAGAATTAAGAAATAGATTTAGTGCTGCTACAGAGAAAGCATTGGATTTGTTAATTCTTATGACACAATTGGATCCGAACAGAAGATGTGACCTGACGCAAGCGTTGTTGCATGAATATTTTCTTGAATTCCCAAGAGCTACGGAGCCCCTGCAATTACCCAAGAAAACTAATGGTAAAGAGGAGGATTCTGAGCCTGAAAATAAAAAAAGGAAGTTGTAGTATGTACATAATGTATCTAATTACTTGTAATAAATATTTTTAACGTATTCAGCTATAGCCCAGGAAGATGTTAAACCGGGACTTTCAATTCCCAATAAGTTGACGAATCCAGGGAAATCTTTCTCTTCTCGTATAATGAAATCAGAGAATTTCTGTTTATTTTCTGTTTGTGAAACAGTCTTAGGCCTAACACCGGTATAAGTTGGCTGTATATCGCCTAATTCAATACTAGGAAAATACGACTTAATTGCCTTGACTGCTTCATCTATGTTTGTAGAAGTTGCTGAATAGTCTATTTCAGAAGCACTCTTTATATCAAGCCATTCTAAATCAGGACCAAATCTTAGCTGTCCGCCTAAATCGAAAGTCAAATGGGTTCCCAAGGAAGACGCATTTGGATTGGGGCATGGATATATCAATTTTTCAGTAATTTTGCTTGTTTTTATTGGATTTACCGGTTGGTAACCGTAGTATGTTCCTTTAGCAAAATAGCTGTTAAGATGTCTATCTTCAGGCAACAAGAAATTTGAAACCTCTTGCGCATAAAGTCCGGCCGAATTCACTAAGCTGTCGGTGGTAACTTCAAACTCACTTCCAGATTCCTTTTCTTTCAATCTGAGACAATAGTTTGGAACCGATCTATTATATTCTATATCAACCAATTGCGTATTGAAACCAATGGTACCTTCATTATTTTCAAATTGAGTTTGGAAATACAACACCAAGTCATGAGCAGATATAATGCCCGTCGTTGGTGATTCGAGGATTCCAGCACTGGCTTTTATTAACGGGAATCTTTTCTTCGCCTGTTCAGGTGATATAAATTCAGTCAGAACTTCAAGTTCTTTTGCATTTCGCTGCAACTTTTCTAGATATTCGTTTTCTGTCTCATCTTGCGCTACAACCCATTTTCCACACTTCGATAACGGGACTTGAACCGAATTGAATTTTCCTGTCTCATAAGCTTCGTATATCTTGTTTTTTCCTTTGATACATAAATCGGCCTTCAAGCTTTCTTTTGGGTAATAAAGCCCTGCATGGATAACTTCTGAGTTTCTTGACGTAGTCTCGGTCCCTAGACTCTCATGCTGCTCCACTAAAAGAACATTGTTGCCTTCGATTGCTTGCAATTCGGATCCCACAGCTGTTCCTACAATTCCACCTCCAATGACAACATGAGAGAAATCAGATGCCATGATCCGACTACTATGAAATTCCTTAATTTGGCTCCTACCAAGTCTACTACCCACGTATTGGCCTATCTGTCTTGTACAGTTTTTCAACATAGTCTGAAAATACCGATGCAGCATTCAAGTTATTCCTAAGTAATATATCAAGTCTGGCTAAACACTTAGGCTTATTTCTCTATATTGTTACAGTCGTCGCTATCAGAGTGTGCATATATCTATTTTGAATTTTCTTTCATTATGGCGACACCCTTATGCCACATTTAACTCAGTTGGGGCATTGAGATACTATATATAGTGCAGAATTTAGAATTGCCGTCGATGTAGGAATAAATCTTCTATTCCATATTGATTATTGAAGCCACTACAACTAGTTATGGATTTCGATGGACATCTATTTGTTGAATCTTAGGTTGTATAGTGTAGTGGTTATCACTTTCGGTTTTGATCCGAACAACCCCGGTTCGAATCCGGGTACGACCTATTTTCTTTTTTTTCCCTGGCATGGACTCGGTGGGACCAATTCCTGCGATCAGTTCGATAACGAAACACACGTGGGCCATATATTAGACATAATTAAAATCGGACACCTTCATTCATATATATATAATATTTTGCACTTGTTTGACTTGTTCGTTTCTGTATAACCGAGAAATTTTGAACGTTTCAATCAATTGTTGATAACTGTAATTGACAAATATGAAGTTTGGTGAACATCTCAGAAATGCTCTAATCAAGAATTATAGCTTTTACTATATTGCATATGATGAATTAAAACATCAGTTGAAAAGTAGCTTGAAAAATAATGATTACAAGTGGACCAATGAGTATGAAGAAGAATTCTTAGCGGCACTTGAACAAGAATTGGATAAGGTGTACTCATTTACCAAGGTCAAGAATACAGAGGTTAATAGAAGGATTAAGGAACTGGAAAAGTTTGTGCATGAGGTTGTGGACGCATTGCAAAATGAACAGAATCCAAATCAACCTCAAGAACAAGATTTCGAAGACTTGGAAAGCGAATTGTCTGACATCATTGCTGATGTGCACGATTTGGCCAAGTTCACCAGATTAAACTACACTGGATTCCAAAAAATCTTAAAAAAGCATGACAAAACCACAAAGTTTACGTTGAGACCAATTTTTCAAGTTAGATTGAACGCTAAGCCATTCTATAAAGATAATTATGATAACTTGATTGTCAAGTTGTCTAAGTTGTACGACTTAGTTAGAACCAGAGGTAACCCAGTTAAGGGAGATGCCTCTGCTGGAGGTAGTCAACAGAATTTCGTGAGACAAACCACAAAGTATTGGGTTCATCCAGATAATATTACTGAATTGAAGTTGGTTATTTTAAAACATTTGCCAGTGTTAGTTTTTAATGCGGACAAGGAATTCGAACCAGAAGACAGTGCCATTACTTCCATCTACTTCGATAACAAGAATATGGATTTATATTACGGTAGATTAAGAAAAGACGAAGGTGCAGAGGCTATCAGATTGAGATGGTACGGGGGTATGAAATCGGACCAAATTTTCGTGGAAAGAAAAACTCACAGAGAAGATTGGACTGGAGAAAAATCGGTCAAAGCCAGATTCGTATTGAAAGAGAAGAAGGTAAATGATTTTTTAAAGGGTAAATGGACTGCTTCTCAAGCTTTTGAAAAAATGAGGAAGGACGGAAAGAAATCCATTAAAGAGATAGATAACTTAGAACGCTTGGCGAAAGAAGTGCAATATCGGGTTATAAAAGACAAAATGAGACCAGTCATGAGATCATTTTATAATAGGACTGCTTTTCAATTGCCAGGTGATGCCAGAGTTCGTATTTCTTTAGATACAGAATTATCAATGACCAGAGAAGATAATTTTGATGGTGATGACAGAACTAACGGTAACTGGAGAAGAACAGATATTGGGGTTGATTATCCATTTTCTCAATTACCAGAAAAGGATATTTGCCGTTTTCCTTATGCAGTTTTGGAAGTTAAATTGCAGACACAATTGGGTCAAGAACCGCCAGCATGGGTTAAAGATTTAGTCACAAGTCACCTTGTGGAAGCTGTGCCTAAGTTCTCCAAGTTTATTCATGGAGGAGCATCATTATTACCGGACTATGTGAATTTGTTACCATTTTGGTTACCTCAAATGGATGTTGATATAAGGAAACCAAAGATACAAGAATTTGGTATTAATAGACAAAATCAACAGAGAGCTAAGTCTTCCTCTTCAGGAGGTGAATTGGATGAAGAAGAATTATTAGTTAATGATGGGTTTTCGCCAAGTTATGGTGCCGTCCACTTCTCTAACGATGTTAATCCTTTGGAAGAAGATTTAGATGAATCCACTCCATTACTCTTACCTTCTAGTTACTCACTGAGAGATTCCGACAGCCCAGTGATGAATTTCCTCACTGATATGTATGGTAAATTTTTGCATTACTTTAATGATGATAGATCGTTCACAGTTAAACCAGGCACTAACTTCGATTTAAATAAAACTTTCGCCAATAAGATTCCGAACGGTAAAAAAATTGCAATTCCAATTAGAATTGAACCAAAGGTCTATTTTGCAACTGAAAGAACCTATTTGCATTGGTTATCGATTGGTATGATTTTGGGTGCAACTGCGATGGCCTTACTTAATTATGGGAGAAAAAGTTCCGTAACTGCGTCAATTGGTTTCTTCATCAGTGCTTTATTCGTATTATCTTACTCAACCTTCAAATATGTTTGGAGGGTTCTTATGATTAGAGAAAAGAAACCAGTTGATTATGCCGATAAATTTGGACCTAATATGATCTGTGCTTTAATTGCGACTGCTACTTTTACAACTTTTGTTTTCAAGTTCTTTGAATCGTGAATTTATCGTACCATTTAATCTATATTTATTTTTACCTTGATTTTACTCAATCATCTAATATTTGGACTACATAAGTATAAATGGCAAATCAAAAGTATTATTATTACTAAATGAAAGTAATAAGCATTTATAATTTTGACTTCGACTGCAAAATATTCGCCAACTTCTGATTAACTGTAAAACCGATCCCATACGATAATTCGTAACCCATTCCACCAGCGCCATAAGCATTGATGATAATGTTCTCAGCATGCTTCTGAATCGTAAGATTTAAACCAGTCTTCCTGGCCGGTCTGAATCCCACATTAATTCTTACAATATCAAAATATTTCTTTCCGTTTTTATCTACTTTCATTAATTCTGGAAATAATTTACTGCCTCTACTAATTAATTCCTTGGTGTCTTCATCTTTTGGAACATCTGTAAAATCATTAACCTGTTTAGTACCGCCAACAATTGTACCCCCATTCAATGGCCGATTTATACAAAACGTCCATGATCCGTTGCTCAGTTGATGGGTTATGGTCTTTTCAGTATATGGATTCTCATTAGGTGGATTTACCAATAAAGTTTGCCCTCTAATCGGAAAACTATCTTCATCGTAACCACCTTCATATTTTAAACCTCGACCTGAACAATTGATTATAATTGGGTTTTTCTTAACATATTTGTTAACTTCTTCCAAGGAATCTATTCTCCTTTTCAAAAACTTGATATCATATTCAAACCGCAATTTTCTTTGCAAAAATTGAATATACATTGGAGCATTGAGCACCCATGTATCATAGGAAGTCCCCATCTCAACTCCATCAGGTAATTGATTTTTGTTTAACACCTCAAAGTTATCAACTCCTTCCCTGTAGCCTTTTGAAACGTTTCTATAGAAAGAATCCGGTTCTTCGAAATATTCAATCCCTTTGACAAATTTTATTGATGACTCTGGATTTGTTCTAGCTAAATCTTTGAAATAAGCTTGTGTTATTCTAGTCAATTTACATTCCCTTGCTTCTTGTTCATTCTTACTTGGAAACGGCCTAAAATGGGCTCCTGCCCAAGGTGAGGTATATTCAGGTTCATATATTGCGTCATCAGGAAAATGATCTGCAATAATGGTTATTCTATGACGATTTGGCTGATTCTCACTTATGGCCAATGCTGTTGATAGCCCTACAACACCAGCTCCCACTATAACTATCTCAGTAGAGTTTGTCATTTCACTGATTATGTTCAACAAGAATTCTATAAAATACTGGGGAAATTAACTTGAGAATTAGTTAACGATTTACGGCGCGCTCATGATCCTAAACAATGCAATGTATTTTTTTATTACGCTTTCTATGAACCCGTCTAAATTTAATTCTTAGAATTCCTTTCTTCATTTCTTAATCCATTTAACCTCTGCTCAATGATTGCATCAACCTCTTCATCTGCCAAGCCACTTTCCTTGTTCGAATTTTTGGACATCAACTTTGAGCTTAATTTAGTCCAAGTACCGTCTTTATTAATTCTCACCTTCTTACCACTTGGCAAAATATCATATTTTGATGACTCGTGGTACTGAGTGTCGCCACTATAAATGACCGTCCCCTCGCTGCCAGGAAGAAGTTCTGTTGGGTTTGGATCAGTTCCTGCTCTTTTTCTATGAATCGGCATATTTTCCAATTCTATCCCTTCTGAGTTGGCTATTTCATCTGAAGATGATTTAAATCTTTGACAAATAGCCTTCCAGATAAGAACTGCACGTCTTTTCCATATTGATTCTTCCTTCACAAATGTCCATCCTTGATGCAATTCGTCGTATGATTCCTCCTCGAAAAAACGTCTCATTTCAATATCCTTTTCAAATAATTTGAATAACTCGTCATCACTTGGATTGAAAATAAACTTAAAAACCTTAAATAGGATATCAAAAAGTATAGGAATGGTGGCCAAAAGTAACAAAGAAGCCCACCAACTTTGATCCCTCCCAAAGGTCATAAGACCATAGGCAACAAAGTATATTGTAGAATCTTTCGTTCTATATAATGCCATAATCAATACATTCCAAAGACCATACCCTCCGACAGAAATAATGAACGCTGCAAATGCTAACCATTGTCTATTTTGCATTTCTATCAATTCACACTTGGCATTGATAACAATTATCAACGCACTGAATACCAAATTTCCTAAAGGAAAAGTAGTGTTATCTTCTAGAGCAGTGAATCCCCATACATAGTATGCTAAAAACGATACACCAACACTCTGTAACGTTGCCAAAACCATCCATGAAATAAAAATTTTCAAGTTGAATGCTTGATACAACCTTCCCTTTGCATAAAGTTCTGGAACTGCTAACAAAGTCGCTGGTTTCAAATCTTTGTCAAACATACCAACACAAAGAACCGGAAGAGAAGTAAATAATGTATTAAACATTGATAAGGACCAGCTTTCATACATGGAAGATCCCGAAAATAAAGTATTCCTTTGATAAATTGCTTGGGTTAGGTAAAAAAACAATTCCTTATAAAAAGTGCATAGGACAAATTTTGCAGTTCTAACATAATTATATCTGCCATTTACTAGTAGTAATTTTAGCAAAAACCTAAATTGAGCAACTGCATAATCGGCCGACCGTGCAGCCTGTAAGCCCTCCCTTCCAGTGATACCTACACCAATATCTGCACTTTGAATCATCGCTATGTCATTGGCACCGTCACCAATAGCTAATGTAACTGCATCTTTTTTCAAATTACGAACAGCACTGACCATATTTGCCTTCTGTGAAGGCGAAGCACGACAGCAGATAGTCGAATCAGTTTGTACACATAAATCAATAAAGGATGCCATTAAATTGGGGTCACTTTCAATATCTGCTAAAGTAGCACCATCAATGACTGCTACGCAATGAGCTATTCTTCCTCCTTGTATATCATGGATTGTTGAAAGAACAAGTTGAGATAATGCCTCCCTTCCAACGTCTAAACTTAAAACAACAACAGTTGAATAATCCTTGATAAGTCTACAAGAATAACCAATGTTAATGGCAGTCTCTCTTTTGTCACCAGTAAGCATCCACATTTTTATTCCTGCTCTTCTAAGCTTGTCAATGGCCTCACTGACACCATCTTGTAATTTATCTTCAATCGCAGTGGCACCACACAATTCGAGGTTGTTTTCAATGCGTCCTCCCACATCTTCGACTCTACCGGCCCTGTCAGAAAGGGCTGTTTTCGCCTCGTTATATTCCTTAGACCAATCCTCATACTCAGTCTTATCTACCCATCTAAATGCATATAATAATGTTCTAAGCCCTTCGGTTGAAAACTCTTCTATATGTTCCAAGGTTTTCTCAAAAATAAATTCATCGTTTACAAGTAATTTATCGTTTGGGATAAATTTCTTTAAGTTTTTAACTTTTGGTACCTGTGCGGAACTTACATCTAGATCGCCATGACTTACAATATCAATACTATATCGTTTGGCCTGTTGCTCATGTAAGGATTTCCTTGACTTAGAAGCAATATCATCGATTTCATATTCTTCATTATTTGTCAAATAATTATCAATAGAAGCAAGTATATTAGGTTCTGTGTTTCCTCGCATATGCAAACTTCTCTTTAAGGAAGATATGGAATTCCTTGACTCAATTTCATGAGAAAACTTAGTTTGTAAAACTGCATCAGCTTCTTGAGTTTTACGATCAGAAGAATTAAGAGAAATTTCTTTAGCCTTCAGTTTTGCAAGCCCAGAATTTCTTAATTTTTCTAAAATTATATTGTCTGCTCCTTTACAAACAATACAAATTCTACCATCAGGAAATTTAACGACCACAGACATTCGCTTCCTAGCAGAAGAAAATTCAATTACGTCGAGCACTTCGTATGTTTCCATTATTGGATCAGCCTCGAACCCATCTGGGTATGATTTAATAATCAATTGACTGTTTTGTCTATTGAACACAACGAAACCTAAATCTCTTGCAGCTTGTACTAAAGCCAACTCATCAGGAGAAGAAGCTTGATATTCAAGGTTTTCGTCTTTAACATTATCATCGTCTAAGAAATAAACGCTCGAATCCTCTCTACCTCTGCTCTTATCCTTCCTTTTAGGTAAACAAGTGTTACATAGTGCGATACTTAACAAGAATAATTTAGCTTTCTTGGCAAAAAGAGTATGTGGGTGAGATTGAATATATCTCAACAAAGCTAATGAGTTCTGTAAGTCCTGGCTTTTAGCTGGAAATGCTGACGATCTCCAATTTGACTCAAACGATTTTATATCTAGACTATCGCGAGCTATTGATGTAGTACTTCTTCTTGGTTGATATTCTAATGCAGATTGAAAACTAGATTTTTTATTCATTGTATCCTGAATGGTTGTCTGAAAACTTGATTTTGTAGGCGAATGTAGCACAGGATCATCCTTACTTTTAGGTTGGCCGTCATCACCTGTGATTCCAGCTTTAACGTCTAAATCATGCAACCAGCTCACACCACAGACGCTAAATTTCCTAAAGATCATAATATTGTCTGTCAAAGTTCCTGTCTTATCACTGAAAATATAACTAACCTGGCCCAACTCTTCTAGAATTGTGGCCGTTTTAGCATCAGCCGGAGTATTGCTCTCAACATGATACATGTCAATATCATATTGAACCAAGCACAATTGCATTACTTTGATTATTTCCATCGTAACATAAAGCGATAAAGGAATCAAAGTATTATACATGATAATAAAACCCATTAATGTAGGTGCAACACCAGCATCTTGCTCATATAAATACCACGCCTTATTTTTGTTCTCTTTGTATAAAAATCGCTGAGCCATGGTTGAGAATGCGGATAATAATACCACTACACAAACCATAAAAATAACGATATAATTAATATTCTTTTGTAATTTGGGGGCCTTAGTTCTTGGATTTTTAATGTTGTTCATCCTAATTTTTGTTTCTTCACCTGTAAATGTTACAATTCCTAGGGCTGATTTAGTATTCCTAAGAATACTTCCTCTGTACACAATATTCTCGGGTCCCAATGCAAACGTCTCTTCATTCAAAGTAAGTTGGCCTTCAAAATTGTATAAATCAGTATTAGGGTCTTCAACAGTGAATAATGCTCTGGTACTCTTCAAACCAGTAACTTTTGAAACTCTTTTTGATAATTCGTTATGCGGTCTTTTAGATTTCAAATTGGTTTCGCCATCTAACGCCATAGTTTCCACATATGCCTCTTGTGTTTCCTCGCTCGTTGCTAAAAGAACAACATCGGCAGGGAACCATTCATTTTCTTTTATTTTAAGAATGTCTCCAACTTTAACATTCTTCCATCTAGTTGTATGTTCTTTTAAATTATATTTCTTCAATAAATCAGTATCGGTATACAGCGGAGTAAATTCTGAATCGGAAACAGATGAACTGGAAGATAGAAAAATGTTATTGCCCTCCGCGTTATTTACTGGCAAAGTTTCCGTCATAATGGTTGCAATAGTGTGGGTATCGAAATTACTTAGATCTTCGTCTTCTCTGACAACCGTCGTTTTCTTGTTATTTTCTTCTTTATCGTTAAGGTGTCTCTTCCAATCATCAAACCCTTCCCGTGCTATTGAAATCGACATAAAGATCAATAGAGGCACAATCGTGGTATACTGACCCGTAGTAGACCATGTGGGGATCATTTGCATGATAGCCACTACCATGAAATAGCAATTAGCAATTTTAGAAAACTGTGCTTTCAACTGTTTTGGCAAGAATGTAAATGCATTATACTTGGCCGAGGTCACCACATTATTGCAATATGGCTCGCCATTTCTCTCGTCGATCAAAGATTTGTGATGGCCATCATAATATTCATCTTGAAAGTCGCTATTCAAGTTACAACGATTTACACTCAAAGGTATAGTTCTCCCATAACCTGTCGGTTCTAAGTTATTAATACCTAATAGTCGATTTTTCAATTTAATTAGAAGCTTTATAGCTATGTTGCGTCTTGCGTTTTTCCTCTTCTCATAGAGTAACCTACGAGCTTCATCAGATCTGGAAGAGTTTATAGTTAGGTGAACTGTTGAATTACTTAACTGAACCTGCAGAATAATATAGGGTGAGTTACCTTTAAAATCGGCATCTTCCACAGGTTCATCAATATTAATCTGAGGCGGCATAATTCCAGAATTATTCACCTTTGAATCATTTTGTTGAGAAGCACCCTCCCATTCATTCGATGAATGTTGTTG